TCAATTACTGATATAGTAATAGCCGCAATGTCTAGTATATCAATAATACTTGCACTATATACACTACACAGAATGAGAACAATAATGTTATTATTGACGACAAGATATATCTACCCCCCCCCCAAAAAAAAGATATATCTACCTAAACAGACAACTTCGCCCCAATTTAAGACAGCATTATACTGGCATCAGAAGATTCTATTATCCAAAGCACACACACAGAAACACATACATTTCTAAAATTAACTGTTGTTGCTTTTTTATTGTTATGTATTTTGTTAATAAACAAATTGTACACTCGTTTTAAACCCTGATTTGAACCACAAGAAATGTTGACTGAATTGATAAACGAATAATATGCAAATTATGAAACTGAACGAATCACCAAACGAGATTGCTAAGAGATTTTTTCCTGGCATCTCGAATTGCGAAATACGAAAAATAAGATTCGAACACGAAATAAAATTAGCTTGACTTAAAGTCGTGTACTGAAGAGACGTCCATTGAAGTTCGAATTTTTTTACAATGGCTTAAATTGCCGAATAAATATCTGTCTTGGAGAGTAATGAGGCGGAGTACCGCTTTTTGGTGGGACAAGCTCAGGTCTACACACCTTTATAGTGTCGTGAAGACACGCGGAGAGGCTAAGTACTAGCAAACTGTGACTTCCATGTGTAGCCTAAAGCACTCCGACAACAAGCGAAGTCGTGCTATGTAAACTACGCTTATTACTAGAATACGTTTATTGTTCATGTGTTCACTTTGTAATTTAGTAGATAAGTGATTTATAAAACATTTATGAAAACACTGTATTATCATTACCCTCATTATATACAAAACTTGTAGATTTAATCATTGTAAATTAGATCATTTAAGGAATTATATTGTTTGTAATTTTAGCTTCTTCCCCTTGAACTTCAAATTTGTCAGAGGAGGATTGTGTTATGATAGCGACTTGACACAATCGCACATTCCCATCACACGCCGTTAGACTATTGTTTAGAATCAACAACTTACATATTTAGGATGAAGATTATAAACATATATTACAGGAATTTGATAAATAGATTGTTTACTTATAATTATTGTATTTAGTAGTGACAACTTTGGAAGGCTTTAACCGTGAGACACATCCTTGGTAATCACGTGATCGTGCAAGCGACTGCAGCGATTTGTTGATTTGTTTTGACTTTTAATATGGAGAGTTTGTAATCTTTTTAAGAGAAAGGAGCGAGGCGTTACCTCAGCTGACTGATTGTGTGAATAAAGCCGGACTATCTGTAATGAAATAATGTGTATTCATTTGGGTCGAATCTGGTATCTCTACGTGTAAGCGACATCAGCCCAGAGACTCGGCTGTGATACTTTGCATAGCTGCCCGTATTTGTTGGTTAGAATAGAAACCAACGGCCAGACTCTGGGCTAAGCGAGACGAAGTTCCCCGATCTCCGAACACAATGCTAGTGTTCATAACAGTATTCTAAGATTTGTTATTGGTGTGCAGGCCCAAACATTTTTATATTTAGGTATTATTCTCATATGTATTGTGTATCAATGAAATGGAGTCGCGGAATATTTGTGCAGTGATCAATGAAACAGAAAATCCGGAAGTATCATGACGTGATGTCTTTTTCGGGACGTTTCTACAATTCACCCGTCATTTCATTGCCTCATCGTATTTGGTTTCTGGGCAACCAAACTTCTCTACCAAGGAAGCCATAGTGTTTCTATATTTGGACGAAATTTTCACGATAACTAATTTATATTAGATGGGATTTCTGGAATATATATAAGCATATATCATGCTAATAATGAATGTATTGGAAATCTGAAATTCAGAGTGTATAGTAATAGTCAAAATTTACCCAATGAACTTTAATGCTCTATGATGTTTTTTTGGAAAACGTCGTATTTTTCTTTGCCTTTATGATCAGGCTGTTTTTTCTTCTTTTTTTACTCTTCTTTGTAACATGCAGTCATTCCTCTAAATATTTATATATTTGATTTGAAAGTGTATTCTCAAGTTCATATAATTTCAGCACAGTATCGTCTTCTGTTTGTCGTTGTGTGTTCCGTAAGACAGTGTACAATTTGCATTATAGTGGATAACATTTAGCATTTTTAGTATTGTTAAGAAACAGCAGATTGAGAACGAAAATGAGAATTGGATAAACTAAAACGAGAACCAAATGATTTGAGGTAAGAATCGAGAAAAAGGAAAAAAATGGATTTTGTTCTTAAAATTACTCAATGGATTAAAGTTTGTGTATTGAATGTAGACTGTCTGTAAAAACAGACATGATTCAGCAAGCGACCACACAATAGCTTTATATTACAATTAATACAATCCTATACAGTGAACGGCAGAAACCTTGGAACCTTATAAACATTTTATAAATTGTTATAAATCAAAATGACCTAGTTTTCAAATTTACCAATTCAACAATGGTATTGATTTCTAGTTAATATTAATAAGGATTTCTCAATTTACACCAGCAAATTCATTTCAAATGTAGTACTTACGGTATTTCTCGTCTAGCTATGAACGTGTTACAGGAGGACAGCTTGAAAGTCGCCCGGGTTAAAGTGCGCCCTCTGCAGTTATAACCGTCTTCAGGGCCGAAAGTCACCGACTTGTTATATACACCCGTATGAATACTTGTATTAGAGCAGTGGTCCATAGCGCTACTCGTTATTTGTGTAACTTGTTCTGCAAGACTTGAGACTCATTTTCACTAAGGCTTTTAGGAACAATTGACTGGGCGTATCATAGTGACACACTAAAACCTGTGATATAGGTGTGGTCCCTGTTCATATAGACACCTCAGGGTAAAACATGTACTGTCTGACTGTAAGCACTTACAGCCCGAAGAAAACACAGCCAATAGATATGTCGCGTGAATTAAAACGTATTTGACAATGAATATACAATCTATAAACCGAGTCTACTTTGTACATTTCGCATATTTCGTCACAAATATTGTATTTTTTTCAAACGCCTGGAATCTCCCTAATTTAATTTTGTGACCATAAAATATATTTATTGTATGTGATACAATTTACCGTTCAATGTATTCACCCCTAAATTGCCGTGTTCAAATATCTTACGCCCCCAAATCAAAAATCTAGGAGACCCTAGTTAGGCTTCTCAGTAGCAGAAATCAAGAGACTGTGACACGTTTCACTATTTTCCTCAGTTACGTCATTAATCGTGCTGAGCGCCCTGATCTATCCCGCTATATCCTAATTGAGTCATATATTCACGTGACCATGGTTTAGGATATGCTTTCTTGACATTACTCAGTAGAAATGATAGTTATTTTACATTTAACAAAACGTGCTTATGGACTTGTGATTCATGCCGGTGAAACAAAGTTTCTGGCTGACCGACATATAAGCATACACCGGACGATTTGGCAGTGGCGTGTAGAGACTCACATCGTTCGCGTTATGTGCTGGTATGGTGCTATTTTCTTCATTTTGCAGCACCTGGAAAAAATGTTTCAAAATAGATTTCTGGGGTCTCGATCTATGAAAGCCAAAACAGGTAGGATATTATTAACAGTACCAGAATAGGATCATCCGATTATGTGAGGGTGTTTTAGAATTATAATGACATCAGAGAGAATTTATAGAGGTAATCTACAGCTGGAAAGCAAATCAATGCAATACAACTGATAAGGTTTGGTCTGCTCCGAATGTAAAACCCATGTGTCTTGTTCTTAAAAAAAATGGTATAACAGCAAAAGTAAAGTCCAACGTCCCGCGTAATAATGAACTAGTCCGCTCATTCATATGCAAATTACATCTTATTGCTTCCCCAAGACGTCTAAAACTATTCATACACCCTGAAGGTCTCGCCATTTTAGCCCTGTAGTTGAAGTTCCGATGAATTTCTTTGGTCCCAACTGACTCGTCACACCCCAGATTCATATCTGAACACCATGGACGACGCTAATGCTAACGATGCTGCAGGTAATGCTAAAAGTCACTGATAACTTCTAGTACATGGTGTCCGACATGGACGATCGCCGTGTAAAGTGTACTTTGCATTCACTTCTTTATTTATTATAAGTGTTGTGATTATTAATGTAACTACCGTACCACAATAACATAGAGAGGAGGGGGGGGGGGTTCCCACACACATCGCACTGTCACCGTAGGTCGATCTCGATCACAGACCTAAGACTTAGTGACGCCGCTAAGTTTGTGTACTAGTATATGTACATAGTGTCATCGAATACTTGAGTGGGCGGATGATTGTAAAGGGGTCCCACCCAAACCGCTACACACCTCTGTCACTGGGTGCATAACGTCGATAGTGATGTATGGCCAATACTTTTTAGTAAATTCTAATGTGGAAGTAATGTAGTAATATTTTAGAGATAGATAAAGACGAACTCATGATTATATATAAAGATACAATGAATTCAAACAATATAAATATATTTTATTTTTCATAAATAAGTCTTTATGGCTATTATCATGGAGTTGATCAGTAATAATATTCTAGACGTAATAGAAATACATCACATATGTGTGCAATTAATTGTTGAATGTGGGAATCTGGACTGAGAATAAAAATGAGTAAGAAAGCCTGGATGCACTGATGCATTCTACTGTATACATCTTTCTAAAGGGTTAACTGTTTGAAACTACTTTGGGGTAAAACATTGTTGTGTCTGTAGTATTTTTCAAATTTGTTTTAATGGCCACCCCTAAATGTAAAATGTGTACCGAGTAAGTCTCAGAGATAAAAGTTTTCAAGTTATAATTCATCTTTTTATGCTAATTTTTTCCAAATTCTGATAAAATTGTTGTATCTGAGGCGACATACTGTCAGTACATGTACAGTTTATATGGGACTTAATTGTTTGTAAAGTACATTGCAGTGTTCTTGATAATTCTGACTTGAACTGTAGTTGTGGATTTCTAATACATTTTTAAATTTTACAAGTTTTAAATTTTAACAGAAAAAAATAAGTTTCCCTTTTTTTTATTCTGAATGTCAGTTTTATTCATTGCACTGTTCTAATATAAACATTTTTTTTTGTAATTGCACAAAAATACTAGTCTTGAATTCTGTGATAAGTGTCATAACTAGATTCTATTTTGGTATTTGTAATTCAACTTGTCATTTTGGAATTCCAAGATCAAATTTATCACAACAATGCCATGCAATGTTTCAAGTAACAACCTTTTTATATATCAACTTGTCCAACATAATTGATTTAATTGATATGCCATTTAGTTACAGTTATCACCACTTAAGTGTTTGACGGTGAAGAGATGTCATTTTCATGCTACTGTTTATATACTCAAACAAATATTCCTAATGCAATAAATTTAATCAAATATTGGTTTATAATAATGTGGATTATACTGTTAAAGTACATTGTAGATTGCTATTTAATAGCCAAAGTTTTGTAATTTTCTTATTAAGAAAATTAAGTAAAAATATATGGTGTTATAGTACTCGGTTCGAATAAAATTGATTTATCTGTTTAGGACAACTTACTATTGTTTTCTATTGTAAAGATTTATCTCAATATCTTAAAATGTGTGTAAAAAAATGAACATTGTCAATATATAGTGTCAATAACAGTATTTTTAGTGAGTTTTTAATGAGCAAATATTTTCATTGTGGTTAATAGAAACTCTGATAAATTGCAATTTTGTGCATATTATTTTACTGTTTTTTCTCAAAAAACAAATTGACAGTGAACCAAAATGTTGGCTAATACTAAAACAACTAAATTTTACATTTTGTCATGAAATATTGTGCTAAAATATGTGCACATGTCAACAACTCACCATTTGAAACTGTTTTTGCATACCAGAATGTGATATACCAAACATAAAACATCATTCTATTTCCTATCATATGTGTTACCTTTACATATAACTGTATTACCGTTATAATTAGAGCTTTAATGACTGCATTATACCGGGTAGTACATTTTTTTTTTTATAAATCCTAGAAACTCACATTTGCAGCTTGTTTTATCCTTTCTGAAAGTTTATTTTCCATTATGCACCAAAGTAGTCATCTAATTGCTATGGCAACCCAAAAGTGATATTTACCTTAAAAGTAAACCAGCCTTATTCATTTCAATTTGTGGCCAGGCCCCAAGGATTTAACTACCATACTAGCAAATATTTACCAACTATATTAACTGATATTCACCAACCATATTAGCTAATATTTACTAATGTAATGATACCATAATTTAGTTGATTTAAGAAGATAAATAAATATTTAAGCTAATTGACTTAGCTATTCTCTAGATTAAGCCAAATATAACAAATTTGGTGTTCTCAGTAATGGTCTGTGTATCTGTTTTATTTTCCTAATGAGTTAAATTGTTTTTGTAAGACCATAAAATGACATCTAAGTTTAGTTTTCAGAATATTTTTCCACTACAAAAACGAAAGAAAATGAAATAAAAAATTGTAACATTGATAGAATGGACACAGCTAATTTACATAATAATAAATAATTTAGTTCTCATTACACGAATTTGGTGCTTTGTATAAGGTGAAGAATTGCAGGGTTAATGTAGAAATCTACTCATCAATGCACATACCCATAATGTATTCATTTTGAAATAAATTATACTCCAAGATACTGACTTAAAAAAACATTGGGGGTCACCAGCCTAATTTTCAAGAAAATAGCTGTTCTATTTTAGTGGATGTGGCTTTTTTGGCAGTTTT